TTTTTTTTTTTTTTTTTTTTTTTTTTTTTTTTTTTTTTTTTTTTTTTTTTTCGCAGTTCTCACGTCAAAAACGAGTAAGAGTTTTTTTTTTCATGAATCACGTCGGGCCCTTTTCCCTCTCGCTCCAGTCATCGGGTCGTCGATACATCCACAAAAAGACTTTCCGAGTGGAGCTTTCGAGCGAGCACTTACTGTCGGAGCAACAAATAAAGCAGTACGTGAGTCGCGTGTTTTTTTTTTCCGCCCCAAAAGGGGGAGATGATGGATTTTCGTTCCGTGGTGGATGTGCGTTTTGATCGTTTAACGTACGAGGGTATGGCTTTGATTTTTTTCCCTCAATCTAAAAAGATTTGTAATTAATGCTGAAACTGAGGAATTGTGGGGACAAAAATGTAACTTTTGGATTATTTATATTGTAAGTCTGGCTATTGAGTGATGCCATAGAAATGAAGCTCTTTTACACAACGCCTTTTTTGTGATGGAGTAGAAAATATTTAAAAAAATAACTTTTAGCCCATTTACAGTGAAAAAAAGTCAACCAATTTGCGGATACGCAAAACGTGTTGATCTCTTACGTAAATGTATATATTGTTATATTGTTAAGCCTTTTTTACAAAATAAGTGAAAAAACTGTTAAATATTCCGTTTTGTAGTAATGTAAGAGAAATAAAAAAAGAAAGAGCGTAAAATAATAATAATAGAAAAAAATCAGTAGAGAAAATAAATTTAAATTACGTTTATTTCAACTGATATGTCAAGAATATTTAAAATAGCTAACAAAATAGATTTTTTCCGCAGTACCATTCATAAGCCACGAATAATCATGAAAAATTATCAATCAAGAAAAGTAATATACTACACTGAAAAAAAAATTCGTCAATCCAAATAATCATTTATTCGAATGCAAACAAACAAAAAAATCTATTAAATATTATGTTACAAAGAATTCATTCATTTGAACGAAACTAGTATCATTTAATTTGAATAAATATTTATTTTTATTGAAACTTTTTTTTTTAGTTTGCATTCAAAATAAATCTTTATTTGAATTGACAAAATTTTTTTTTCCTGTGTACGTAAAAAATTCACGAAGTAGGTAATTTTTGTAACAGTTTAACAATCATAGCCCTAACAAGTTGTCCATATTATTTTTTGACAATAAAATGTGTAAATATTTTAAAACTCGAGTGTCTTTTCGCGCACTTTTCTCGAGTTAATTTGTAATTTGTGTATCCTAAAGTGAATAAAAGAATTTGAATACATTTTATATAAATGTTGGATGAGGAAATAAAATTTGTACAGAAAATGCGAAACATTATGAAGCATATTTTTTTTTCTTAAATAATAAAAGTAGAGTTTGTTTTAGGTATCACACCTGTGTAGAAAAAAATTCAAATTTCGCACCCAAGTTGTCATCAAAATCGTTATTCGTTGAATTTTTCGTCACGAATCAGATTTTCTCCTCGGACTTACCCACGGCATCGCTTTCTTTCATTGCACCGGAGTAAGTATCGCCTCATAAAACAAAAATCGAAAAGAGACGATTCCGCGATATCCCGATATAATTCGACCGCGTTACTTTGATTTAGCGCCTCACGTGCACGTCCATCTGTCTTTACGACTCATTACTTCTTTCCTTTCGAGTCGCGTTTCCCATGAAAGACAGCTGAGTCAACGTTGAAGGTACTACCGATCGGACGCATTTTTTTTTTTTTTCCCATTTATGGTCGCGTTCTCCGTAAGAGCGATTTTATTCTTTCTTTGTACGAAGGGGATTGGGCAGTGCTATTAATATTTTTTAGGAAAACCTTTCCCTTCCAAAGTTTGGGTGGGGGAAGATAATTGGGACATTGATTTGTTTATTCGTACCACATAATATGAGATTACACTATTCCGTTTGAAATTCATTAAAAAATATATAAAACTAAGACATCAAAGCAGATAAATCCGGACTCTTGTTGGACTGAGACATTTTGTTACTTGAAAAATTTAATCGTAAATAAATAATCACGTCGTTTAGTTTAATTTTTGTGGCATGAATAAATTTTTTTGGATTTCATACATACACATTTTTGAAGGTAAAATAATATATATTTTTGACAAGAACGATGTTTGCTTACTCACTGTTATTGGTTGGGTTACAAATCAATGTAATTCTTGTGCTGTGCATCAAAATACGCATTACTCAAATACTTGTCAAAGTAAATCTTTGAATCATCACGTGATAGCAAATTTTAGAATTTATTGAAATTAAAAATTACTGTATAGTTTTAATAATCATAGTTTTTTTGTATAAAAAATTATTATGACTGTTACGGAAGACATTTAATTTATATTGTAAGAAATCATGTTTCTAGTTTGAATTTTTTTTTTTTTTTATTTTTATCAAAATTTTCTTACACTCTACATTTCTCCTAAATAAAAATAGTATACGACATATTCAATCGTTGTATAACATCAATCTTTTAAAAAGTCTACAAAAGTTACAAGGAAGAAAAATCCTGATGAATATACGGAAAATCACTACTGATCATTTGATGCGCGTATGTATATTATGTAGCTACACTTACGTAATTGATAAAAATCACAATAACAGCATCGATTGAACAGTAAAAGAGCCATTTCTGAGCTGTAACATCAAAAACTTACGTATCTACGTCCACAATGAAAAAGGTACCTTATCGAAAAAAATAATTGGAATTAAAGTATTTAAAGTACAAGTATTAAAGCACAAGCAACAAATACTCGTTGATTTTGAGTAGCAAAAGTATAATATTAGAGAAAAAGAGACGGGACTCATAAGCTGCACGACGACTTTACATCAGCGGTGAGATCATGAAACTGATTCGCGTCTCCTCCCACTTCGTGGCTGAAGGAAAATTACTCGTTTTTCCACATACATGAGCCAAACAAAAAGAGCCTCGCGAGACTCAAAGTGCGGACATTATTTAATTAATCCTCCGCTTCGTCGCTGCGGCTAATACCTGTGTAGAAAAAAATTCAAATTTCGCACCCAAGTTGTCATCAAAATCGTTATTCGTTGAATTTTTCGTCACGATTCAGATTTTCTCCTCGGACTTACCCACGGCATCGCTTTCTTTCATTTCGTGTGCTTTTCGCGATTGTTCCGGTGTTATGATTTCACGGATCCAAAAGCCCCCCTCTCTCCCCCCTCCTTTTAGTTTTATTCGGAAAAACGCGCATTTTCAAATCACCGTTTCCAACGAACCAGTTTTAATTACCTGCTTTTTTCGACATTACCACGTGATTACAAAAAAAAAATTATATATTTAGTAGAACTGAGTTTGTTACAATAGGATAAGGTATGTGAGCATTGTAAAAGAGGCGAGTGATAAATATTCTAGGAAAAAATTAAAATGGCTCGTTAAAGAATGTTACTCAATACGTCTGAGTCGAGGTTTGAGTCAGTTACAGTAGGATAAGGCACGTATGCATTGTAAAAGAGACTAGTGACAAAAATTTTAATAGCGAAACAAATTATTTTCGACTCGTATGATTTTTGTTTTCAATTTTTATTAACAACCACCACATTGTGCTGTTATTGTTCACGACCGCTACTCAAGCAAGTCGATAAGAATTGCGTAGGATAAAAAAAACATTCTGTTTTATTTTCACGCGCGAACGATGTATGCATCGACTCGGCCGCTGTCAATGAAGGCGAAATTGCAAATAAACGCACGTGGGGAGAAGAGTCGTATTCCCTCGATCGGATGCCATCGCGTCAATTAAACGCTCGTCCAATATATATATATGTACTTTTTTTTTTTTTTTTTTNTACTTGTTCCTCCAAAATTTAAATAACATTAATAAGTAATTGAAATTTCTTGGGGTCAAAGTGTCCGAGAAGAAAATTGTGGATACTTTAATTTTAAAACTTAAATACGAGGGCTTATAAAAAAATCATCCTTTTATTTTTCATCTACATTAAACTAATATTCAGATAAATCCCTAAGAAAATAAAAGTCTTGATTTTTTTTTTTGGTAAAAGCCAGCGAAGAAACACGAACATGCGGTTTCTATGGAACTATATTTAAATATGGAGAAGTATTCAAGCCATCGGACGACTATGCTTGCCAGTGTTCAGAGACAAAAACTGAATGGGGAGGTACATTTTTTTAGTGCTTTACAATTAATTATTAAAAATAAATAAAATACAAACTTACGTGAAACAACAATTTTAGGCAAATTAATGGAGATGATATGCAGAAAATTGAATTTTTGTGGAGTCGAGCTAAAACGGCCCATGGAAATTCGTGAAAACTGTCCTCCAGTATATCTTGCGGATCATTCACCGTACGATTCTTGCGCCTTTGATTATAGATGTCGTAAGTACAAAGATGTGGAATAAAATACAGCTGATTTGATTAACCGACAAAAATAGTTGTTCACGTGTCATATGATTGTATAGAGAACGACAACGATGTCGTCGTGCGCACCTCGAGATCTTCGAAAGAGCCCTGGAGAGTCCGTGGTAAGTTTGAATGGTAAAAAAAAAATCGAGAAAATAATTCTAATGGACCACATATTTTTTTTTTTAGATAATATGAAGTGCAAATTCGGAAATATGACATTGAATGTCGGTGACGAGTTAAATGTAGTCACTAGTGTAAAATAAAATGTCTTGTCGTGGAAACTTGGCCCTTTTTAGTGGATTTCTGTGTATTGTTTTTGTTTCGGCACTACGTGAGTGAACATTTACATTTTTTTTTTTTTTTCATTAATAAAGTTTTTTAATGCAAAATAGGTTGTTTATTCATTCGCGTGGTGCGTTACTCCAAGAAACTACTTTTTTTATTATTTAACAAAGTTCTCGACTGTTTAAAACCTTCTCGATGAATGCTATAACGTATATGTATTTGGTTTTCTAACAGTACCCGTTAGTTAAGCAAAGGCAAGAGCATTGGCAAAAAAAATATTTGGCAAAAATCATGTAAAACAAGTACTCTATTAATATTAACATTAACAAATGTAACGTTTTGTTTACGTAATTGTTGATATGAAGCAAAAATTCCGCACGTGTCAATCGCAATGGCATGTATGCGTGTTCTCATGGATAGGGTGCATCAACCTAACCTATAAATAAAAGTGTAGTGATCGTAAAATAACCTTAAAAATTATCAAAATACACAGTATTCAACACGCTTTTTTAAGAATAAAGTTTATGATTTTTTCTTTTACGGCATTAGGGTTTATTTAATATAAAAATAAATATTTTCATCGTCACTTGTAATTAATTTTTATCTATAAAATGAAAAAAAAAAAAAAAAAAAAAAAATGGAATGAATTTATTTTTATACGATGAAACGTGTACAATAGTTATGAATAACGTTTATGTAATTAAAAAAAATATTGAATGAAATAAAAAATCAAGGTTAATAACGTATGTTTAGAATGTGATGAAAGTCGGTGCAAGGGGCCGATAAGGTTTTACAAGGAGCTAAAATGCAAAGCAATTTACGCAAAAAAATGGGATTGCTGTCCAAAAAGATACGACTGTACGCATTTGAAAGGCAGATCAGCGGACTTTTGCTACGTAAACGGTAAAAAATATGATGTTACCAGTATGTATCCCACATTGGCTGTATTAGATCGTTCGGGACCATGTGACGAAAACTGTATCTGCGTGAGGGACCCCAAAGGCTAGTAAGTGTCAATATGGTGGTAGGTACGAAAGTTCTGAACATAAATGATGTTCCAAAGTATCGTATCGGACAAAACTTCAAAAGATTTTATTTTATTAATTACTTAGATCACAATTTTAAGTTAATATAATTATTGAAATTCTTAGGTTATTCCTCAATCTTTTTCGTAGTTTTAATAAATAAAGGGTATTAAGGTATGATAAATTGAATAAGTAATTAAAATGAAATATCTGAATACATGAAAAACTACCAAGAAGAAAATGAAAAAAAGAAATAGTTTAATCAACAACCAATCATGAAATTTATATATTTTCAACGTTAAATAATACCTTTTTACAGTGCTATGATTTCCTGCCTTCCCCCTCAATGTCCGCATATCCACGTCAAAGACGGGTGTTTTCTCAAGCCACGATTTGACTCTTGCTGTGGCGAAGTCAAATCATTTATTCGAATGCAAACAAACAAAAAAATCTATTAAATATTATGTTACAAAGAATTCATTCATTTGAACGAAACTAGTATCATTTAATTTGAATAAATATTTATTTTATCTAAATTATTATTTTTGTGTTTGTATTCGTATGAAGATTTGTTTAAATTGAAGAAATTTTTTCTTTTCATTGTACTTGTTCCTCCAAAATTTAAATAACATTAATAAGTAATTGAAATTTCTTGGGGTCAAAGTGTCCGAGAAGAAAATTGTGGATACTTTAATTTTAAAACTTAAATACGAGGGCTTATAAAAAAATCATCCTTTTATTTTTCATCTACATTAAACTAATATTCAGATAAATCCCTAAGAAAATAAAAGTCTTGATTTTTTTTTTTGGTAAAAGCCAGCGAAGAAACACGAACATGCGGTTTCTATGGAACTATATTTAAATATGGAGAAGTATTCAAGCCATCGGACGACTACGCTTGCCAGTGTTCAGAGACAAAAACTGAATGGGGAGGTACATTTTTTTAGTGCTTTACAATTAATTATTAAAAATAAATAAAATACAAACTTACGTGAAACAACAATTTTAGGCAAATTAATGGAGATGATATGCAGAAAATTGAATTTTTGTGGAGTCGAGCTAAAACGGCCCATGGAAAAAAATTGAATTTTTGTGGAGTTTTCTTAAATAATAAAAGTAGAGTTTGTTTTAGGTATCACACCTGTGTAGAAAAAAATTCAAATTTCGCACCCAAGTTGTCATCATGTTTTTTTTTTCAAATTCTCTGGGGTGCAATTTTTATTTGGTCATACAATATATTTTTACTTTGGGCTAAAAAACTCTTTTTTTTTACTGCTTATAACATAGCACTTGATAGTTTCTTCTAGACCCAAAATAATGTACTAGACGTTTCAAAGAGAAATTAACTTTAAATACGTATTGAGATTTTTTTTTTCGATTCTCTAAAAATACATGACACTATTTTAGCTAGAAAAATTTTTCTAAGAATAGGATTGCCAGTGGCGAAAAAAAAAATCACCAACAAAAGTGATGCAACGATTAAAAAAAAATAATAACAATAAACAGTAGTAATAATTTAAAAAAAGAAATAAGTGTCAAAGTGGTTTAAATAAACTTGCTCCTCTAAATGTATTTTGTATTATTTTTTGCTGGAAAATTTTCCCTTGGGAGTAAAAATTAATGAACTACCAGCAAATGTGTTGCATCAATTATTTTTATAAAACATTATCTAATAAGTGTCAACGTATTTAAAAAAAAAAAGGCTGAAACATTTTTATTAAAATACATTTGATAATAAAGTCGATTCTCTTAGAATACATCGTACTATTTTTTTGTAAGATTTGTTGAAAATTTTATGGTAAAAATATCGTGTTACATTTTTAGAAAAAAAAAAAAAATCAATAGCATTTAAAAATCCACGTAAAAATCGTAACCAAGTTCAACGATGATTCAAACTTGAGTCACATATAAAATACCCAAGAAAAGAAGTAAGACCAAGTCTTTTGGTCGAACTTTCGTGCTTACCTCCTTTCCAGCCATCATCCGCGGGTCGCGCTCTTCTCCCTCCCGCACCAAATTTCCAATCGATAGNATTTTTTTTTTTTTTTTATTAATAAGGTTTTTAATACCAGATTGGTTATCTGTTGATTCTTGTGGTATCTTAGACTAAGAGCCATATTTTTTATCGTAAGCAAGTCTCATCCCTTTTATATAACAGTGTGGAATAGTATACATTTGATTAAAAATATTTAAAAACATTTTTTCATAAATTTTTTCTTGATGCATAACCCGCTTAAAGGATTTTTTACAAAATGTAACAACTGTACATTTAGCCAGGACCTTGAATGTACCTTTATTCACAATTTAATCGGTAGAAGCAAAATATTACTGTAGAGCACACTGTGGCTTCTCGTTTAAATATTTTTATCGTAACAATTATTTTTATATTCATAATTGTTTCATTCTAAGTAATAATTTTTTTTAGTACAAGCAAGACAATAAAAATTCGTCCAAGATCATGTACGTGATAGTGAATTATCCTGTAACTTAGATTTTTATAACCCTGTAGCAAAATGTTTTAAAACGGAGTCAAATAATTCTAATTTCTAATTCTGTAGGCATTTTACTATTTCATGTAACTTATGATATAACTGTGCGATGAATATGTGGTAACTTAAAAATATTAAACAAAGTAAGAAATGTTTATGTTATGTTTAATCCTTTAATATTTTTTTTTTTTTTTTTATATTATAGTGTACTGACATACGATGGGTATGTACACTGTCTTTATTCATTCAACATTTACATTGTCTTTTAACATGTCGTTTTTTCATCGTATCATTATACAAACATTTCTCTTATTTTCGCTTGTCATTTTACATTTTTCGTTCTTTATTATTCGCATATCATATCTTTTTTTATCTCCCCGGTCACGCAGGACCGGTTATCGAGAGCTCGTCACAATTTATTATTTTTCAATCGCTTTATTATTTTTCTTTTCATCTTATAAACTAAATCTTAATCCTAAGTCAGTTTCATGAATTCGATACCCGGCAAGAACCATCAGAAAAAATCTGAGTACCTCCCATGGAAATTCGTGAAAACTGTCCTCCAGTATATCTTGCGGGTCATTCACCGTACGATTCTTGCGCCTTTGATTATAGATGTCGTAAGTACAAAATAGTACATTGCACTCTTTTATAAAGTTAAAGTAAAAATTATCTCAGGTGATCCTTTTATATTTCGTTTCTTATCTTAGAGGTGACGATTTTAAACATGAAATTAAAGGCTTCTTTACTTGCGTGATGTTTTGACCAACGTGACAATAATAAAGTACTATAGCTTCCAAATATTAAAAAAGATGTAAAAATACTACTTTCACGTAAGAAAAGTGCACACAAATTATTTCATTACAAACAATAGTCTAATCTATCAATGTAGCGCATCACAAAATCAAAATACTTTAAGGATAAGTGAAACTTGCTGGAATGACACTTGAATATGAACCGAATCGCCTCAAAAAATTTCAAACCGTGTAGGCAGGCAATTTTTCAAAACAAATCATTTAGGAGGCCATTTAATCTTGATAACATTTGATACAATATCTTCCAAATTATACTGTAACTCTCATTATAAAACTAGGTACTAAAAAAATAAATCATGAGCTTTTCAATAATATCAAGAAAATGTAGGTTTACGGGGCAATATAGTATGATATTTTATTAATTGGGTGATTGTTTATGAAATGATACAGGTTACGTGAACTGTGGCAACTTTGTATATGACCCGACGTTTTTAGAAGTGATAGTCCGATGTCACGTAAATGGGTAGTACAGTTGTGATGAGCCACCTTAATAGTATTAACTTGTGATATAATTTTTAGAAAACGTCAACGACACCGTTATTCGCTCCTCGATGGCTACGGGAGAATCTTTGGCAGTACCTGGTACGTTTGAGGGGCAAAACTTATTATTATTGCTGGATCAGAGAAAACCATTAATTTGGCCACCGTTTGTTTCCTCAGACAACATGAAATGCAAATTCGGAAATATGACATTAAACGTCGGCGACGAGATAAATGAAGGAACTGATTACAATTCCGAGCACGTCGGGTGCGTGTGCGAGGTGCCTCCAGTACTTACATGCCAGAAACGTCAATATAAAGGAGATACGTTCGGAAGCTGTGTAAACGCATGACGCTAACTAACAATGTGACAGTCAACGAGGTAAACATATCAATCTAATGGAAGTCGATTTGATAGTATTGAATGTTTGATTGTCGGACAAAAAGTTACCTGTTTTGCCAATAGTTGCCGACATACCAACCTGAGTTATATCCTGACGATTGATATATTGTGTTGAATGGCTCTGCTGTTTCTACAGCTGCAATGTATACACTGTAAAACTATTATTTTTAAAGTGCATGTATTTTCGTATATATGTATGTATGTTCAACCTTAAGCTCTTCAAATTAATGCCAATCGTGTGACTTCTGAATTGTTATAACCCTCATAATCCTGTAACTCCAGCCACATATTCATCTTCTAAAAAAGTTTGACCTGACCGGGAGTTGAACCTGTATCCACTATAGAGCAGTCATATTACGTCTGATCAGTTTCTATCTAACTAACCTACAACTACTCCTACCTGAGCTAAAAATTATGCTGTACGACTAAATGTAAATTAACATTCATAAATATAAATAATGTTCAACTAACTGTACCTTAGGTTATATATTAAATGATGCATGTGTATCAGGCTTATGGAGGTAACGGCTCTAGGGTTATAGGGGAAATACAGTGTTGTGTAATAAGAGGCTATGGGGTTGCAAGGTTTTGTGATTACTGGATCGGAGGTTATACTGTATTGGAGTTAATGAGCTTATGCTATAAGATCACTTAAGGTTATAATAGCTTGAAATTTTAATTTCGAGCATATTTGGGAGTCTTTACAATAATTAAGATCCATGGTCTAGGATACAAGTGTAGTTAAATTTATCGATGATGACGTTTGCTATGTATGTGTCCGAAATTCGACTAAATTAATGTTGATAAAACGACTGCTCTTCCAAACAATTTTTTGTTTACTCACCTCTAATTAAACTACTTTAATTTGTTCTGATTACAAATATAATCAACTATTACAGCTATATTAGTCATATAAAATAGGAGAAAATAAGTTGTTTGGGTCGGACGGCGTTTTCTATTCATCAGAGATCTGGCTCAGATGAGCAGATTGATTTGTTTGCGTAAGTTTAAGAGTTATGTGCGAGACTTATAATAGCATGTATGATATTTTGGTGATACAACGATTAACAATTATTACAAAAAAAATTTTTTATTGAGAAATTAACAATTGTATTGCTTTGAGTTTTCGTGATACAAAACGTGTTTGATTGAATACAACAAAGTTTTGATAAAACATACTTATTATAATTATTACACATTAAAAATGGGTACCTTAAAAAGGCGTTGCCTTTGTTTATGCATGAAAGTACTTCTACTCATGTACATTTACTTTAAATGCTAGAAAAACTGAACTCGGATGTAACACATTACATTTTTATTTGTAAGTAAATCCTTACTACTTAAGCTATAGTTTTTTTTTTTTTTTATATTATAGTGTACTGACATACGATGGGTATGTACACTGTCTTTATTCATTCAACATTTACATTGTCTTTTAACATGTCGTTTTTTCATCGTATCATTATACAAACATTTCTCTTATTTTCGCTTGTCATTTTACATTTTTCGTTCTTTATTATTCGCATATCATATCTTTTTTTATCTCCCCGGTCACGCAGGACCGGTTATCGAGAGCTCGTCACAATTTATTATTTTTCAATCGCTTTATTATTTTTCTTTTCATCTTATAAACTAAATCTTAATCCTAAGTCAGTTTCATGAATTCGATACCCGGCAAGAACCATCAGAAAAAATCTGAGTATCTCCCGACCGGGAATCGAACCCACGACCCCTTGAGCTGTGTTGTTTCGGAGGCTAGCATGCTAACCACTGAGCCAACGACGTGAGCTATAGTTTATTATACATATAAGACTTAAAAAGGTGAAAACGTACGTGACAAAACTTCATCAGCTCAACGCGTACTGCTAACTTTAAAACATTCATACTTCACGAGATTATTGGAGGTATTGTAACTTTGTAGACACTACAAGCAGTTGTAAGGACCCTCAACATAGATCGTTATGTGCTATATAAGATTGCTTTGGTTACTGAATAGCCTTAGGCAAATTTACACTGACCATAAGGTATGCCAGTGTGGAGGTCGTTTTGAGATGGATTCTCTGTCTGGAAGATTCTGAACAATCTGCGCATTCATTGAGCAACCCAATTCTTTGAAACAAAGAAAATTTCTTTACCCTCATTCCGTTAAATATTTTCTTTTAATTGAAACAAATTTAGTCGATCCAAAAAAACATTTCGTAAAACTTAATGAGAAATACGTAATTAAAAAAAGAAAATTTTAATTTAATAAAATATTATTTTTAATTTACTTATACTTTTTTAATCATAAGAAAATACTTAATGGGATGAGGGTAAAGTAATTTTCCTTGATTCTAAGAATTGGGTTGCTCAGTGATAGGTAAAGGGCTACTCTAATTTTAGATTCTAACGGCTTGATAATTTGTTAGTAAAATAATTTCTTAATACTTGTATCCTCAAAGCTTTACACAAGTCTAAGCACGAATTTGTACTCATATATGCTGTGTTATCATACTCGCAATCCATGTTTTCATTTTTTCCAATCTTGTAGTACACGTCATAACATCAAACAAAATTTATTACTCTACACTATTATGATATACGCTTAAATCTCTGGTTGATTTGGTCAATTCACTTTTAATAACCTTTTTTTAATCTACTAAAAAATTTTCCTATAAGGCTTCATGCATTTTGGCGATCTTAGCAAGGGACANGAACACTGAAAGGGTTTATCCCCCATATGGATCCGCATGTGCCTCGTGAGATGGATTTTCTCTCTAAAAGATTCTGAACAATCTGAACACTGAAAGGGTTTTCCCCCCGTATGAATTTGCATATGTAATGTAATGCTGTTTTTGTGCCTAAATGATTGAGAACAAAACGTGCACTTAAAGGGTTTCTTGTCCGCATGGATTTGCATGTGTAATGTAAGGGTGTTTTTGTGCCTAAATGATTGAGAACAAAACGAGCACTTGAAGAGTTTCTCTTCCGCGTGAATCTTCATGTGTAATAAGTGATGGCCTTTTCGCTTAAACGTTTTGAAACACGTGGAGCACTCGAAGGGTTTCTGGTTTGAGTGAATAAGCTTGTGCATATCGAGACATGTGATGGTGGAAAAAGTTTTCCCACACACCTCGCAAAGGACTGAACTTTTTTTTATGCTCTCTTTATGATCGGAATTCTCTTTACGGCCCTTGTACATATTGGTAAATAATTCGACTTTGTTGATGTTAGGATAACAAAGAGAACAAAGCAGAGATGTGTCGTCACTGGATGATAACGATATCTTTCGGTGTTCAGGAATTGGATCCAACCTGCCTTTCTTCCTACGAATAAAACAAAAAGTTTAGTAGTTCATAACTTGAATTAGTATTTGTTATAAATGTTTTTTCTCTCCTAATTTTAACTGCTCAATAAATTTAGTACAATACATTCTTTTTTTCTTATTGTTACTGTCTTCTGTATTAGATTACAGTACGGTTACATTTGATGTATGAACAACATGCACTCATGAAAATAAATAAATATATTTAATCTTAATAAATCCATAACCTTTTGGTTAAATAAATTATGAAAAAGAGATGTTCCACATTTTAATCTACAACCTAAATATTAGTTGAATCAAATTTTATTTCATAACATAAAGTATAAGAATAAAGAGTAGAAACTAACTTAGTAAGAATTTGCATACATTATGTTCTATTTGTATTCGTTGCATTTAAGGCTATAATTGCATTTTGTAAAATTTAAACAAATGTTTTAACTTTCAAAATAAAAAACTCACTACTCTACGTCTAGATATTCAATCTTCAAAGTGCAAACAATCGTTGTCGTGTCCAAGTCTTGGTCGCATACAATTTTTTGGCCCGATTAAATGTACACTTTCTAATATTATAGGTACTATTTAGTAATTTAATAACTTGATAAATATTTTGGTTTATTGATACCGAAACTTGTAAAAATATACACACAGTATGCACGAGTGAACTATATTGGGTATTATGGGTATTATTGCAATTTGGAAACCTAACAATATTCTGAAATTTTAGTTTTTGTGGACGAGTGGAAAACGTTGACGTGTACAATTTAACGCTCAAAAAGCTACTGATATCACAATAGATGAGGTGATTTCTACATCTATAGCCTACGACGAGCGATAGGAATGTTAATTGTTTAATAATGACTTTTAACTGTACATGTAGTCAGACAATTTCGAAATGGTACCTCTTAGTTAAGTTGGTCGGAAAAGTCATGCATCGTATATATATATTATGTATATATATATCATGAATAAAGGTATAGTTTGGTTGTGTTGTAATATTTTTCAACAATCTAGAAATCATAGTTAAGATTGGTAATAAAAAATATCAGAAGCTCCCGAGATATTTTAAATCTATATTAAAAAAAATCATTACTGTATTCTATAACAATTGCCTCTGATGGATGTATTACGCAATAATAATTATGATAATATTTAGAACAATAGGAGACTATTGTAATAATTTTTTTTTAATAAATCAGCTGTTTTAATTTTTTCAGTTTACAAATAAAATATCTTATCGTACAGAGGCGTGCAATTGGGATGTGTAGTAAAATTTAAACGTAATGTAATCGATTTACCGATGCACATACTTACGTTAATAAGGTAATCAAATGTTAGTAATCGGAAAGTTTCAAAAAAAACAAGTAATAATGATAATTTACGTAATAAAATACGATTGTTGTCACACGTTTGTCGTATTATTGTCTGGAAATCCCAATCTTTCGAACCCATTTCCTTTTGTCATGCTACTAATACCTGTACAACATTACAGACTTTAATTAAAAATTTGTTGTTTGTGCAATGGGAAAATACTAATATTTTCTACCTGGGTATTGATTGGTTTTCAACCAAAGTATAAAGATGCGTTTTCATTGTAAATCTTGATTTACTTTGAATTTTTTTATTTACATTTTTATTCTTAGTTAAACGAATTCATGTTGCACGAATTTACTTTATTTTATGCGTTTAAAATAGTGTTTAAAATTAATCCTACACAAAAGTAAAGTCCGAAAAAGTAAAAATCATGAAAATTCGTAAGAAAAAATAAATATTTAATCATTTACTTGGTTTATTAAGTTATTTAAAATTTTATTATGCTGATATTTTTTTTTTGTACGCTTACTGCTACTACTGTTTTCTTAAGAAAAGTTCTCAAGTATTCTATCAACTACAACGTCAGTATATACACAACCATTGTTTCAATAGAGATCGAGAAACAACATCGAATGTAATTACATTACGCGCGTTTGTTAGTCTCCAGTTTAGTCTTGTCCATAGCGAGTTCTGACTTTAACAGGAGATGATACTCATTCGTATATTCAAAGTTAACTTTCCAGGTGAAAAATTTTTGCATAGTAATTACCAACAAGATCATAACATTATAAAAATAAACAAAGTTAATCCAAGAACTGATTAATAAATTAAAAAATTGACACATTATATAGTTAACAAAAAAAAAATACTTCTCGTAACGAGAGGAGTTTTTCTGAACAGTTAAGTGATGCCTAATCGGTTATGACTACGAGATAGTGTAATTTAATCAAAATCTTCTAACTTTACTTCAGTACATTGCTAGACGTTGATTATTCGTTTTTCCTGTACAGCTTACAGTTAAAAAACGTAAAGCGTTTTAAAAAAGAGAGTAAGAAATAAACTTGATGAAACGATTTAAAAATGTAAATAAATTTTTCCCAGGCAACACATTTAAAAGTTGCAGTACAGAGATTGCATCGAATATCATGCAAGCGCTATATATAAGAAACACTTAAGAAGTTAAGAAGCTTCTTTCCTGTTCAAAGTTTGACTCTTGCTTCTCGCGACCTACTTTAAAAAGCGATCCCTCAAAATGTATATTCCAAATCCCCAAAGTATCTTTCCCAAACACGAGCATCCACTTTTCAAATCTGCATACTTTAAGATCCTCTCGATATTAAAATATATTTTTATTTTTATCATTATTACTGTTACTACTACTATACCAATAGTCATCGTAATTTGTTTTATATATGATTACTACTATTACAATGATTCATCATGTTATTATAATTATTATTAATTTATTATTATTGTTATTATTACTGTTA